CTAAATTGTGAAAATCGTTTTGAATTCTGCTCCTGTCTTCTGGGGATTGGCTCCCCCTCCCAATTTGATCCCGTCTGCAAACTTGATGATCCTGCCTTCTGACCCTTCATCTAAGTCAGTGTTTCTCAACCTAGGGGTCAGGACCCCTAAGGGTGTCACCAGGGGGTGCCAGAGGGGTTGCCAAAGACCATCAGAAAACACAGTATTTTTCTGTTGGTCATGGGGGTTCTGTGTGGGAAGTTTGGCCCAATTCTATCGTTGGTGGGGGTCAGAATGCTATTTGATTGTAGGTGAACTATAAATCCCAGCAACTATACTCCAAAATGTTAAGCTCTATTTCCCCCAAGCTCCACCAGTGTTCAGATTTGGGCATATCGAGCATCTGTGCCCAGTGATGTCCAGATCCATCATCGTTTGAGTCCACAGTGCTCTCTGGATGTAAGTGAACTACATCTCCAAAACTCAAGGTCAATGTCTATCAAACCCTTCCAGTATTTTCTGTTGGTCATGGGAGTTCAGAATGATCTTTGATTGTAGGTGAACTATATATCCCAGCAACTACAACTCCCAAGTTAAAAAAAATCAATCTCTCCCCCCGCCCCCCTCCAACCTCACCAGTATTCAAATTTGGGTGTATCGGGTATTTGTGGAAAATTTGGTCCAGTGAATGAAGATACATCCTGTGTATCAGATATTTACATTACGATTCATAACAGTAACAAAATTACAGTTATGAAGTAGCAACAAAAATAATGTTATGGTTGAGGGTTGCCACAACTTGAGGAACTGAATTAAGGGGTCGCGACATTAGGAAGATTGAGAAACCCTGATCTAAGTCATTAATAAAGATGTTGAACAGGACCGGGCCCAGGACGGAACCCTGCTTGTGGCACTCCACTCGTCACTTCTTTCCAGGATGAAGAGGAAGCATTGGTGAGAATCACCCTCTGGGTTCGTCCATTTAACCAATTACTGATCCATCTCACCGTAGTTTTGCCTAGCCCACATTGGACTAGATAGAATCATAGAATCAAAGAGTTGGAAGAGACCTCCTGGGCCATCCAGTCCAACCCCCTGCCAAGAAGCAGGAATATTGCATTCAGATCACCCCTGACAGATGCCATCCAGCCTCTGTTTAAAAGCTTCCAAAGAAGGAGCCTCACCACACTCAGGGGCAGAGAGTTCCACTGCTGAACGGCTCTCACAGTCAGGAAGTTCTTCCTCGTGTTCAGATGTAATCTCCTTTCTTGTAGTTTGAAGCCATTGTTCCGTCCTAGTCTCCAGGGAAGCAGAAAACAAGCTTGCTCCCTCCTCCCTGTGGTTTCCTCTCACATATTTATACATGGCTATCATATCTCCTCTCAGCCTTCTCTTCTTCAGGCTAAACACGCCCAGCTCCTTAAGCCACTCCTCATTGGGCTTGTTCTCCAGACCCTTGATCATTTAGTCGCCCTCCTCTTAGTGTCAAGCTCTCCGTTCATTTGCGGTGCCTAGAACTGGACAATTGGACAGCGTGATTCCAGGTAAGGTGGTCTGACCATAGAGGGGTAGAATGACTTCCCTGGGTCTAGGCACTGGCCTCCTATTGATGTTGGCCAAAATCTAATTGACTTTTTTAGCTGCTTCATAACATTGTTGGCTCATGTTTAACTTGTTTCTGACAAGGACCCCAAGATCATTTTCACATGTTCTGCTCTCGAGCCAGGCATTATCCCCCATTCTCTATCTTTGCATTTCCTTTTTTCTGCCTATGTCGATGATCTTGCATTTGTCCCTCTTGAACTTCATTTTCATAGAATCAAAGAGTTGGAACAGACCTCATGGGCCATCCAGTCCAATCTCCTGCCAAGAAGCAGGAATATTGCATTCAAATCACCCCCCGACAGATGGCCATCCAGCCTCTGTTTACAAGCTTCCAAAGAAGGAGCCTCTACCACACTCCGGGGCAGAGAGTTCCACTGCTGAACGACTCTCACAGTTCTTCCTCATGTTCAGATGGAATCTTCCTCATGTTCAGTTCAAGTTCTTCCTCATGTTCAGTTCAAGTTCTTCCTCATGTTCAGATGGAATCTCCTCTCTTGTAGTTTGAAGCCATTGTTCCGCGTCCTAGTCTCCAAGGAAGCAGAAAACAAGCTTGCTCCCTTCTCCCTGTGGCTTCCTCTGACATATTTATACATGGCTATCATGTCTCCTCTCAGCCTTCTCTTCTTCAGGCTAAACATGCCCAGCTCCTTAAGCCGCTCTTCATAGGGCTTGTTCTCCAGACCCTTGATCATTTGAGTCTCCCTCCTCTGGACACATTCCAGCTTGTCAATATCTCTCTTGAATTGTGGTGCCCAGAATTGGACACAATATTCCAGGTGTGGTCTAACCAAGGCAGAATAGAGCATGGGGAGCATGACTTCCCTCTCTTCAATTATGGTGCCCAGAGTTTGTAAGGCCATGGGAGACCTTAGCAAAGGAAGGACTTCCTCAAATCCGCATAAATCGCCATCAGATGCTGGCTTCAAACTACAAGAGAGGAGATTCTATCTGAACATGAGGAAGAACTTCCTGACTGTGAGAGCCGTTCAGCAGTGGAACTCTCTGCCCTGGAGTGTGGTGGAGGCTCCTTCTTTGGAAGCTTTTAAACAGAGGCTGGATGGCCATCTGTCAGGGGTGCTTTGAATCCAATTTTCCTGCTTCTTGGCAGAATGGGGTTGGACTGGATGGCCCATGAGGTCTCTTCCAACTCTTTGATTCTATGATTCAACAGTGTGATGCAGCAGCTAAAACAGCCAATGCAATTCTAGTCTGCATCAATAGTAGTGAGGTGAGACCACCATCTTCCAAAAGGTCTGCTTTTGCTGAAGGACATACCTTACCATCATGAAATTCTTCTCTATCTTTGGCTGGCGTTTGCATCCCTCTCACTGGAATCCATTAATTTGGGTGGAACCATCTGCTGGCACGGAAGACGGGCCTTTCCCCCCTCCTTCAAGTGTTGGATCTGCAGTAAGCAGTATGCTAATCCCTGGAAATGCGTGCATTCCCCTCCCTGCAGTTAATATTGAATGGCGTGGAAGAGATGGTGGGAAATGAAAGCAATCAATTACTGACAGAGCTCTCCGTTAAGGAAAGACGGGGAAGGGCCCGGACAGCAGCTTGTTATAAATTATAGCTTAGGAGCTGTTAATATTAAAAACACTCCAAGGGAAATGTGGGGTCATTAGGCAGGCAATTAATAAAAGACCCCCGGCAGATGCATTGTTAGATTCCGCAGGATGGAGGGAAGGAAGATTAGCGAGCGGAGGAGCTTCAAAATGGTCTACCTGGCTCAGGTGCAGATGGTGGTGCAGTGGGTTAAAGCCTTGTGCCGGTAGGACTGAAGACTGACAGGTCGGAGGTTTGAATCCAGGGAGAGCACGGATGAGCTCCTTCTGTCAGCTCCAGCTTCCCATGCGGGGACATGATACCTGCCTTGAAAGGGCCGGGCTTTCGCACAGTTGCCAGTTGGATTAAATCTAGCCAACCAAAAGGTTGACAGTTCAAAGCCCAGGTCAGGGTGAGCTCCTATCCTTTAGCTCAGCTTCTGCCTACCTAGCAGTTTCAAAAAGAGCAACGTGAGTAGATAAATAGGTACCGCTTTAAAGCGGGGAGGTATTTAAGGTACCCATAAAGAAATGCCAGGAAAATGCTGGAGATTTGATGGAGGAGGAAGCTTATGAACAAAGCTCTTCGGCAGGGAAAGTGGAGTGACAACACCCCCTCCTTGTGGCCGGAACCAAGCACAGCGTCCAAGATGCCAAAGATGGGAAATCCTATGTATGTATAGTTGTCTGTTTTGTCAGTGTATAACAGCATTGAATGTGTATTTATTCAGTGATCCACTCTGAATCCTCTCCGGGGTGAGAAGGGAGGAATATAAATACCGAGTTGTTGTAGGTTTTTTTGGGCTATATGGCCATGGTCTAGAGGCATTCTCTCCTGACGTTTCGCCTTCATCTATGGCAAGCATCCTCAGAGGCACCGAGTCCTTCAGATGTTAGCGGGGTACAAATAAAGATAATAATAATAATAATAATAATAATAATAATAATAATAATAATAATTGTTGTTTATTCATTCAGTCACTTCTGACTCTTGATGACCTCCTGGACCATCTCACGTCAGAGTGCCCTGTCGGCCATGGCCACCTCGCATGACCTCATGGACCAGCCTATGCCAGAGCTCCACCATGTTTCATGCATGTTGATGTTATTTATTCGTTCAGTAGCTTCTGACTCTTCGTGACCTCATGGACCAGCCCATGCCAGAGCGCCCTGTCGGCCGTCACCACCCCCAGCTCCTTCAAGGTCAAGCCAGTCACTTCAAGGATGCCATTCATCCATCTTGCCCTTGGTTGGCTCCTCTTCCCTCTTCAGTTGTGGTGCCCAGAATTGGACACAATATTCCAGGTGTGGTCTATCCAAGGCAAGAGAAGGAGAGGCGCAGAGATCTTCAGCCTTCTCTGCCAAAGGAGTTCCTAAGACCAACAGAACTATATATTTTCTGATGGTCTTTGGTGACCCCTCTGAAACCCCTTTGCGACCCCACCCCCGGGGTCCCAATCCACAGGTTGAGAAACACTACCATATTGTTCCCAAGATATCTGAAAACACTTCTTAATGGAATTTGTCTCCAATGCATAAAAGTCTCTCAGTGATGTTGTTGTTGGAGCCCCCAGTAGCGCAGTGGCTTAAATCCCTGTGCCAGCAGGACTGAAGACCGACAGGTCACAGGTTCGAACCCAGGGAGAGGCGGATGAGCTCCCTCTATCAGCTCCAGCTCCTCATGCGGGGACATGAGAGAAGCCTCCCACAAGGATGATAAAACGTCAAATCATCTGGGCATCCCCTGGGCAACGTCCTTGCAGACGGCCAATTCTCTAACACCAGAAGCGACTTGCAGTTTCTCAGGCTGCTCCTGACACGACAAAAAAAAAAGGGGGGATTTGTCTCCAATGCATAAAAGTCTCTCAGTGATGTTGTTATTCTTTTTAATTAAAAAAATGAGCCACCTTGGACCAGATCTCTACATTTTCGGTATTACAAATCTGCAAAAACAAAGGAAGGAAACAGAGAAACAACAAAGCAAAAGACATCTTTAGAAAACAAAAGAAATCTTTACGAACATGACTGGCCTTTCCAAGCAGGGAAGAGGAAAACAGAGCAAGAACTAGTTGCAATACCAAAGAAAATGACTTAAAAACCCCCATATTTCTGTACTTTGCAAGAGAACAGTGTGGCTCCAAAGAAAATGGAGGGGAAAAAAGTATTTCTGCTCTTTGCAAGACAACAGAGTGGCCTATGACCCATTTGGGAGCAAGACCTTATAGTTGTGGTTGGAAGGAGTCGCCAAGACAGTTTGCTTTCCTGAGAGCAACATCCTTTTCCGCTCCCCTTCACTGCTGCCTTGGATTGCTCCAAATGTGACTTATGCAAGCGTAACACATTGTTATACCGACATAAGTCACCAAAAGGATCCTGTACCACTTTTCTTACATTTGCTCAACACTATCAATATTTAAAATATAACAGGACGTCACAGTCCCATGATGTGCAAAACCCCACCAGTTCGTTTTTAATAGCACAGGAGTCTCTGTTGATTAACTGAACACTGTTTCTTGCAGAAAGATCTGCTGTTTCCGCTCTTTTTTGGCCGGAGAAAGTCTAGAACTTCTGTAGAAACTTGAGGACCAGGTCCTGGAGCTTCACCCTCAGGGCCTCGTCGCTTTCGCACATGATGTGAGTCGAATCCTCCTCAATGCGGATGAGCGTTTCCACATCTTGGAACAACACGATGTGGCCTTTCGGGGTGTCTTCCACCTTGACGTCACTGAACCCGTGCTACGGTTGAAAGAGAAAAGTAAAAAGATGTTGGCAATCAGAGAAAAAACACATAATCGAAGATGTACTTGAGTTTGTTCCACTTTGTCAACTGATGTTGTCACTGCCTATTACAAGGAAAACCAGCTGATCCCTAATCCATCTAAAATACAGGCATGTGCCTTTCATCTCAAGAACAGACAAGCATCCCAAGCTCTGAAGATCAACTGGGAAGGAATCCCACTGGAGCATTGCAGTGCACCCAAATACCTGGGGGTCACTCTGGACCGTGCTCTTACCTATAAGAAGCACTGCCTGAACATCAAGCAAAAAGTGGGTGCTAGAAACAATATTATACGAAAGCTGAGTGGCACAACCTGGGGATCACAACCAGATACAGTGAAGACATCTGCCCTTGCGCTGTGCTACTCTGCTGCTGAGTATGCATGCCCAGTGTGGAAGACATCTCACCACACTAACAGTGGATGTGGCTCTTAACGAGACATGCCACATTATCACGGGGTGTCTGCGCCCTACACCACTGGAGAAATTACACTGCTTAGCCAGTATTGCACCACCTGACATCCGCCGGGAAGTAGCAGCCAATAGTGAAAGGACCAAGGCAGAGACATCTCCGACCCATCCCTTGTTTGGGTATCAGCCAGCACGCCAACGACTTAAATCAAGAAATAGTTTTCTAAGATCTACGGAGACACTCGCTGGAACACCTCAGCAAGCGAGAGTCCAAAAGTGGCAGGATAAAACCCAGAATCTCAATCAATGGCTGATACCAAATGAGAGACTCCCCCCTGGGCACAAAGAAGACTGGGCAACTTGGAAGGTGCTGAATAGAATGCGCTCTGGCACCACAAGATGCTGAGCCAACCTCAAGAAATGGGGCCACAAAGTGGAATCCACGACATGTGAGTGTGGAGAAGAGCAAACCACTGACCACCTGCTGCAATGCAACCTGAGCCCTGCCACATGCACAATGGAGGACCTTCTTGCGACAACACCAGAGGCACTCCAAGGGCCCAGATACTGGTCAAAGGACATTTAATCAACTACCAAGCTTGCAAATTCTGTGTTTCGTTTGTTTGTTTGTTAAAAAATGCAATACAACTGTGTGGTTTGCTCCTGACACGATAAATAAATAAATAACCTGTTCTGTTAATATAGTATTATATGAAAACCTGTGATTATTTGGAATATATAATAAGGGGAGTGGAAGGCAAAAGGGAAGAACAGAGGGAGAAAGTAAAGAAATGAAATTATCTGTATAGGAAGAAAGAAATTACTGAATATGAAGAAGAGAAAATGTGGGTTTAACATTCTTTTTCTCCCGAGAACAAGAGCAAACGGATACGGATCAAGGGACTGACGGCTCAGATTAAGGATGATCCTCTGCATGTAACAGTTCAGGAACAGCTTGCAGTGTAAAGGGGGAACTTGCTCACCTTTTCCAGGGTTTGCACCAACTGCTCCACGGGGACGGAGCCACTGAGGAGAGGCTTGACGGGCTTCAGCTCCGGGACGTCGTCCGTCACTCGCTTCCTCTTTTTGCTCGTTTGAGGCTGGGGAGGTTTGGGAGGAAGCTACAAGAAGCAAGGGCAATCAAAATATTGAAATATTATTCATTAAAATAGGAAACTATTTAAACTTTTGAGACTGGAGAGGGGGACGTTTTGACATATTTATAAAGCCCAGCTCATGGAACACTTTGCTTGAAGTGCTGATGTTCATTGCACCCTATATTCACTTTCTTGTCCTTGCTTCTCTTCGGAAGAGCTTGGATTACAATTGCCATCATTTCCAGAAGGTAAGGGATGAGGGACATTGTGATACAATACAACACACCTAGAGCACAACAGGTGGAAGAAAGCTTGCCTTATGGATTGTCGAAGGCTTTCAGGCCAGAATCACTGGGTTGTTGTAGGTTTTTCGGGCTGTATGGCCATGTTCTAGAAGCATTCTCTCCTGACGTTTTGCCTGTATCTGTGGCAAGCATCCTGAGGATGCTTGCCACAGATGCAGGCAAAACATCAGGAGAGAATGCTTCTAGAACAGTGTTTCTCAACCTGGTGGTCGGAGACCCCTGGGGGGGGGGGTCACAGGGGTGTCTCAGAAGGGTCACCAAAGACCATCAGGAAACACAATAATTTCTGTGTGTCAAGTTTGATGGGCTGAGTTCAGAATGCTCTTTGATTGTAGGTGAACTATAAATCCCGGCAACTAAAACTCCCAAATAACAAGGTCTATTTTCTCCAAACTCCACCAGTGTTCACATTTGGGCATATTGAGTATTCATGTCAAGTTGGGTCCAGATCCATTATTGTTTGAATCCACAGTGCTCTCTGGATGTAGGTGAACTACAACTCCAAAACTTAAGGTCAATGCTCACCAAACCCTTTCCAGTATTTTCTATTGCTTGTGGGAGTTCTGTGTGCCAAGCATTCTGTTTGGTGGAGTTCAGAATGCTCTTTGATTGTAGGTGAACTATAAATCTCAGCAACCACATCTCCCAAATGTCAAGGCCTATTTTCCTCAAACTCCAACAGTGTTCACATTTCGGCATATTGAATATTCGGGCCAAATTTGGTCCAGATCCATCATTGTTTCAGTCCACAGTGCTCTCTGGATGTAGGTGAACTACAACTCCAAAACTTAAGGTCAATGCTCACCAAACCCTTCTAGTATTTTCTGTTGGTTGTGGGAGTTCTGTGTGCCAAGTTTGGTTCAATTCCATGGTTGGTGGAGTTCAGAATGCTCTTTGATTGTAGGTGAACTATAAATCCCAGCAACTACAACACCCAAATGTCAAGGTCTATTTCCCCCAAACTCCACCAGTGTTCAAATTTGCAGATTTGCGCCAAGTTTGGTCCAGATCCATCACTGTTTGAGTCCACAGTGCTTTATGGATGTAGGTGAACTACAACTCCCAAATTCCCAACCCTGCTTCTCCCTTCTGCTTTGGGCGTCCCTTTGAGGCTTTCCTCCCAGTATCCATACTGTACCTGGAGCACATGTTTGTTGTCTTTAGTATGCAAAACAGCCGTAACAGTTGCCAAGGAAATGCCAGGTTTCATCTCAGTGGGCACCAGTGAATCTGCAAGCTAAAGCAAAACCGTCAGTGCAATTTTTTAAATAAGCAAATCCAATGGAAGTAGGGTGATTTGCTCCAAGAAAACACCAATAAAATGCATAAGAAGAGTGTACATAGCATGTGCCTACACACACATATACACTGATATGTCCATAGTAGTGATGGATGAAACAAATGTGGTTCCTTGTTGTGAAGTCGGATTTGGAGGTCCTGTCTCTCGTCCTCGCCAGGTACGCCTGCGACAAAGGTGGGATCGAAAGAAGGGCCTCCCCAGAAGATCTTAAATTCTTAGCTGGTTCATAAGGAGAGATACGTTTGGACAGGTAGGCTGGGCCAGAACCATTTAGGGCTTCTTTAGGAATTGTGCCAGGTAGCAAACTGGAGCTGGCGCAACAGAGGAGTTGTGTGCTCCCTGAGTGCTGCTCCCATTAGCAACCTGGCTGCCGCCCGCTGGAACATTTGAAGCTTCCGAACAGTCTTCAAAGGCAACTCCATGTACAGCGCGTTGCAGTAGTCTATACGGGATGTAACCAGAGCGTGGACTACCGTGGCCAAGTCAAACTTCCCAAGGTACGGGCGCAGCTGGCGCACAAGCTTTAACTGGGCAAATGATCCCCTGGTCACTGCCGAGACCTGGGGTTCCAGGCTCAATGATGAGTCCAGGATCATACCCAAGTTGAGAACACAGGCCCTGTTTGGCCTTATGACTGAGCAGGAGAACCTCTGTCTTGGGTTGTTGAGGTTTCTTCTAGAGGCATTCTCTCCTGACGTTTCACCTGCATCTATGGCAAGCATCCTCAGAGGTTGTGATGTACCTCTGTTTTGTCTGGATTCAATTTCAATTCCACAGGTATATACACTCCACTTGCCTCACTGCTAACAGAACCTCTGAAGATGCCAGCCACAGATGCAGGTGAAACATCAGGAGAGAATGGGTTGTTAAAAGTTTTTTCGGGCTATGTGGCCATGGTCTAGAGGCATTCTCTCCTGACGTTTCGCCTGCATCTATGGCAAGCATCCTCAGAGGTAGTGAGGTCTGTTGGAACTAGGAAAATGGGTTTATATATCTGTGGAATGACCAGGGTGGGACTTTGACAATACATCAGGAGAGAATCATAGAATCATAGAATCAAAGAGTTGGAAGAGACCTCATGGGCCATCCAGTCCAACCCCCTGCCAAGAAGCAGGAATTGCATTCAAATCACCCCTGACAGATGGCCATCCAGCCTCTGTTTAAAAGCTTCCAAAGAAGGAGCCTCCACCACACTCCGGGGCAGAGAGTTCCACTGCTGAACAACTCTCACAGCCAGGAAGGACGTGAGGCTGACCGGACGGTCATTGTTTGGGTCATCCTTTTTTCCCTTCTTGAAGATTGGGACCACATTGGCCCTCCTCCAATCTGCTGGAACTTCTCCCGTTCTCCAAGAACTCTCAAAGATGATTGCCAATGGTTCCGAAATGACTTCCGCTAGTTCCTTCAATAGTCTTGGGTGTAGTTGATCTGGCCCTGGGGACTTGAACTCATTTAGAGCGGCCAGGTATTCCTGGACGACTTGTTTCCCAATTTGGGGTTGGATGTTCTCTAATCCCTCATCCACTCCATCTTGCTGAGGTTGAAGATGACTTTCTTTTTGTGAGAAGACCGAGGCAAAGAAGGCATTAAGTAGTTCTGCCTTTTCCCTATCCCCTGTCAGCATTGCCCCATCTTCTCCTCGAAGAGGTCCCATCGCCTCCTTGTTTTTCCTTTTTCTACTGACATAAGAATAGAAGCCCTTTTTATTGTTTTTAATGTCCCTGGCAAGTCTGAGCTCGTTTTTGCTTTAGCCTTGCGGACCTTTTCCCTACAGGTGTTGGCTATTTGTTTGAATTCTTCTTTGGTGATTTCTCCCTTTTTCCACTTCTTGTGCATGTCTCTTTTGTGTCTTAGCACAGTTAGGAGTTCTTTGGACATCCATTCTGGCTTCTTTGCACTTGTCCTATTTTTTCTCTTTGTTGGCACGGTTTGCAATTGCGCCTTGAGTATTTCACTCTTGAGAAATTCCCATCCATCCGTAACTCCCTTGTCTTTTAGTATCTGTGTCCACGGAATGCTGCTCAGCGTTTCCTTCATTTTTTGGAAATTGGCTCTTCTAAAGTCCAAAATCGGGTTTGACTTATCTTAGTTTCGGCCTTCCTTTGTACCTCAAATTGCAGGAGCACATGGTCACTTGCCCCTAAGGATCCGACCACTTCAACCGCATCGATTAGGTCCTCTGCATTTGTTAGGATGAGATCAAGAGTAGCCAACCCCCTTGTTGCCTCTTCGACCTTCTGGACCATGAAATTGTCTGCAAGGCAAGAATGTTGTTGGAACATGACCATAAAGGCCTCAAAACGCACAGCAACCCAATGAAATATATTAAAGCGGGTGGCCCTTGGGGAGTCTCTTCCATCTCTATCACTTTAATACCTTTTCCTCAAGAACACCAAAGTTCCTTGCTGAAACAGCCTCAAAACGTCTGGATTTTCATCCCATCAGCACATTGTCCCTTCACGCTTCTGCAGTTTAGCCTGAAGCCTCTTTGGTCTAGAGGACTCCGTTGGAAGCAGGGGCAAGGCGACATTGTGCATTGCAAAAACATATCTGCATCCAAACGGGATGCAGCACATACAATCAAAACCCGCTTCCTGGCACTGTCATAAAAAAAACTGAGAAGATGCGGAGCAGCGGCTGCAATGATGACGGCCTTCAATAAAAAATGAGGTGTGCCTCAGGGCCCTGAAGACACTTAAACCCCAATAAATAAATCTATTAGCCGCCAGGAAGGCTCTTCCCCGAAGTAAGAGGGGTAAGAGACATTTGGCTTCCTGTTATATTTTATTTATAGGGCTGGGTTTTCCTTTTGGAGGGGAACGGAGGGCAGGAGGAGGAGGAGGACAGGAGATGGATTGGAGCCGTATAATGCATTGCGTTTGGGGGTCTCCTCTGCCCTCCCACTCCGTGCAGCCGTCCAAGACTTGAGATGAAATCCCACATGGGCAGAGCAATGCAGCAGCGCAAGGGGAAGCCAGGGCCATAAATCTTATGCTGCCCAAAGTTTGCACATTAAATATCAGGTTAGAGTTTCCAACACTCAAAAAAGCTGCCTGTGATATTTTAAGTCAGGATGGGCCAGCTAAAAGTCAGGATGCAGCTAAAAAAGGCAATGGGATGTTGGCCTGCATCAATAGGAGTCTAGTGTCTAGATCCAAGGAAGTCATGCTCCCCATGCTCTATTCTGCCTTGGTTAGACCACACCTGGAATCACACTGTGTCCAACTCTGGGCACCATAATTGAAGAGAGATGTTGACAAGCTGGAATGTGTCCAGAGGATGACGACTAAAATGATCAAGGGTCTGGAGAACAAGCCCTATGAGGAGCGGCTTAAAGAGTTGGGCATATTTAGCCTTCAGAAGAGATGCTCTCTGGATTCAGGTGAACTACAACTCCAAAACTCAAGGTCAGTGCTCACCAAACCCTTCCAGTATTTTTCGTTGGTTGTGGGAGTTCTGTGTGCCAAGTTTGGTCCAATTCCATCATTGGTGGAATTCAAAATGCTCTTTAATTGTAGGTGAACTATAAATCCCAGCAACTACAACTCCCAAATGACATAATCCATTTTCCTTCCAACCCCACCAGTATTCAAATTTGGGCATATTGGGTAACGTAAGGTAAAAGTTTTCCCTGACATTAAGTCCAGTCGTGTCCAACTCTGGGAGTCGGTGCTCAATTTCTAGGCCAAAGAGCCGGTGTTGTCCATAGACACCTCCAAGGTCATGTGGCTGACATGACGGCATGGAGCGCTGTTGTTGGGTATTTGTGCCAAATTTGGTCCAGTGAATGAAAATACATCCTGCATTTCAGGTTTTTACATTATGATTCATAACAGTAACACAATTACAATTAGGAAGTAGCAATAATAATTTTATGGTTGGGGGTCACCACAACGTGAGGCACTGTATTAAGGGATTGCGGCATTAGGAAGGTTGAGAACCACTGTTCTAAGGATTATTATTTCTGCGTTTGATTTATTAAAATATTCCCATCCAAACCTAACGAAGGTGGAGGCATTACTTTTCATTCAACCCTCGTAGATGCATCGTAAGTCAAGGAAACCATGACCCAGGATTTGGAAGATGTGAACAGAGCTGTTAAGAACAGGGTCTCTTGGACATCTCTCATTCATGGAGTCGCTGACTGGATGGCAAGTAACTACAATATTGTTTGATGATCCATTTTGTTGCAAGACAGTAAACCGAACCACGATTTTGTACCTGAAATATGTCACATATCAGAGGTTACTGGATCTTCTCGGCATAACTTCTCACCCTATCTCCATATAACCACAAGCCTAAGAGCTGTAACCACATATTGTGTTCGCATTCCTACTATTTCGGTGTCTTAACTTTATGTGTACCTACATCACGGTTGGAATGTATGCATCTTGCCAGATGTTCTTCAGTTGCAACTCCCAGCAGCCCCAGCCTGCAAAGCCAACAGGGAGGAAAGCAAGGAGTGCTACTTCAACAACACCTGATGCCCATCTAGGATTCCCACACTGGCCTACTTAGAGCTGAAAACAACCACAAGGAGAGTCTTAAAATGCTAAATACGGATGTTTTGGCTCCTTTGAAACATCTCAAAGTCGAGGGATGCTGCGAGGGAGAGTTTTCCTCCAGCTCCAAAAATCTTCTCTTCAAATCCAAGGAGGAAAGATTCAGACAATGGATGAGCAAAACAATTCTCCTGAATGTACTGTCGAAAACTTTCATGGCTGTAATCTCTGGGTTGTTGTAGGTTTTTTTGGGCTGTATGGCCATGTTTCTAGAAGCATTCTCTCCTGACGTTTCGCCTGCATCTGTGGCAAGCATCCTCAGAGGTTGTGAGGTTTGTGGAAACTAGGAAAATTGGGTTTATAGATCTGTAGAAGAATGTCCAGGGTGGGAGAAAGAACTCTTGTCTGTTGGAGCTAGGTGTGAATGTTTCAATT